ACCACAGCATTTCTGACAGTGGTAGCTTAGGGAAACCACCAGACTAAGAATCAAGAAGTCTGTATTTTAGGACCACTCTTAGATTTACTAGTTGAGTAAGTTAGTTGCTTCTCTAAGCTTCATTGTGTTATTTGTAAAATGGGTAAAATAAGCCGTGCTCTCACTGGGCTCTACTGAGGAAGATGAGAGTAAGCTATAAAATGATATGCATGTATAAGGATTAAAGGGTTATCACATGGCATTGTAATGGATACTGTCCCCAAGATATGTTAATGGACAAAGTTTTATGTCTAGAAGTCTACAGATTTAGACACACTCTTCTATATCCATGTAATCACATAGATAACTCACATGAATAGGTTTTAGGGTTTAATTTTTAAAACATCCCTTTGAAGAAGATTCTGCTATTTTTTTATTTCAAATTAATATGAGGGTACAAATTTTTAGGTTACATTGTTCTCACTTCCAAGGTAAAGTTCAAGTTGTAGGAGAGCCCCTCACCCAGCGGGGCGTGCTAAATACTCTCACATTGTGCACATTAGGTGAGATCTCACCAAATGCCCTCCCACCTCCCTCCAATCACTTTCCCTCTCCTCTTCACCTCTCCCACCTTATCTCTCTCTCTTGCTAGACTGTATTTGTTTTATAATTCATATGAGTGTGTAAGTGTTTACATGTTGGTTTCATATTGGTATTGAGTGCAATGGATATTTTTTCCCCCATTCTTGAGGTATTTTACTAAGAAGAATTTTGTTTAATTCCATCTAGGTAAACATAAAAGATGTAAAGTCGCCTTCTTTTTTATGACTGAATGGAATTCCATAGTATACTTTGGTTAATTGAGTTACATGCTCAAAGACACGCAAAAAAGTAGGCAGTGGTGACACTTGAGCTCACGTTTCCCAGCTACAAGACAGAAGCTCTTTCTACAATTTACTGGAACTATAAGAGCAGAGACCAAGTTTACTATATATTCTAAAGTCCTATGGCTCCAGTCTTGGTACATTCCACTTCACAGGGGTACTCTTAAAGTGTTGGTTCTTATTAATAATAGCAGGGTAAGTTTTAAAACTTACATTGGCTTCTGGAAGAACCACTAGCTACTAAGAAAGGACATAAGGTTTTGTTTTCCTAGGAACCCTCTTTGACCTTTTCAGTTACATTCTCACTTTTCCATTTCTTCTTGTCACTGTTATCTACTTAAAATTCAGTTCTCTTTTCTACTCTATTTCTTGTGCATATATTTACTTCTTAACCCTCCTGAGACCACAGAGAAAACTTTCCTAAGCCAAGTTCTCTTCATTCTTGTCTGGGTTCCTTATTTCTGTTGTTACAGTTTAACATGATTTTGGCCAGTCTTCCTTGCCTTTGTCTCTCCCCAAGTGATCTCATTAGGCCTGGTGGCCACAGGCTCATGCTTGATACACCATGTAAATGCCTAAGTAGAAAGACTGTGCACATAGAACAGAAATAGTGCAAGAATGTGGTAATATAGTTTAATGGTTTTGAGAAGCTATAGGACAATAAGGGTCAGTGTTTTTTATTCTGGGCATAGAAAAAACTGACAACCAAAGTTACTCTGCTTTCTTACACTGGCCTCTATTGTTTGAAGCAGTACTGGTAGCCTTCTGCTTCTTTTCCAGGTTCCGATGGAGGAGGCGGTTGCTGGTGATCTCTGCTCCTAATGATGAAGACTGGGCCTATTCACAGCAGCTCTCTGCCCTCAGTGGTCAGGCATGCAATTTTGGTGAGTGGGAATCTCATTATGGCTTTCCCATACTACTCTCCTCCTGGTCAATTCTAAAATAGAACATAGAAGCTTAGATCATCCAAATGATTCCCCCGAGGTTCCCAAACACATACTCTATTATACTGAGTATAAAGTTGCCTTCATACTGGAGCTGTTAGTCAATGTCCATCTCTCCCCCCCCAACCAATATTTGTTTCATTCAAGTGTTTGATATTATTTACTGCTTTACTTTTAATAATCTTTATTATGTTCCCAGTTTGTTGTTTAAAGTTTTGTCTCAAGGTCATAACACTTATGTATCATCACTTACTTAGGTAAGTGTATCATCATTATGTATCATCATTATGTATCATTATGTATCATCACTCCTTAGGTACCATTGTTGGGTTCTTCTCCATAGATTCATTATCTTTTGTAAAATAAAAATGGCCTTGAGAATTAATGTGTTAATTGAAGAAAACTATACCATATTGCCCTTCCGTTAAAAAGGATTTTGATGTACAACTGAGCACTAGGAAGACAGGAAAGATCTGTTAAGTAGAACATTGTTTTGAAGACAATCAGGTTAAAGAGGAAGACAATTAGGTTAAAGAGAAACACAGTTTATGTTTTTGTAGAGAATTGCTTAGTATTCTGAAAACTAACAGATGCATTATTAAGGAAACATTATTATTCTAGTGGCCTGAAAGACCTAGTATTTTGAATATGGATAGACAGTAAAATAAATAGGACAAAGAATTTATTACCAAGCACAATGTAGATAATGACAATTTTAAAAGTAGAAGTCATGATTGAAATCTGAAAGGCGATATGCCTCTGCAAAGGGAGAATTCTGAAAGATTCACTGGGGGAGGGTAGGGAGTAGTTAAGGGCTACATGTTAAAAAATTAGTAATTAGAACATATATGAATAAGCATTATTTTGATACTTCTATTAGGAAGAAGAATCATCTGATAGTTATAAAACCTGTGTTTGATTTTAAAAGGAGGGGCATGTACATTTTGTAAAGCATTAACTGAGTCCCGGTCCTTGTTATGACCCAGTACATGTAAATTATAAGTACATTTCTATTTTAAGATATGAAATAACTCAAAAGAAGGCAGAAAACAAGCTCATAATGGTAAAAGTGATAGAAAAATTCATGAATTTTTACTTACACTACTATTGTCAAGGTTAATAATTTAAGACTTTATATCAACATATGGAAGATTTGATTATATCAGCATCAAATTAAGCATGTTAAATTATCTTAAATTATATATACTCAACAATGGTGCTAGTTAAGGTAGAAGTTCTTAGAGACATTAATGACTCTTGACAATAAGAATATAAATAAAGCCCTAGTTTGTTGACTTTCAAAAGATGCCTTTTCCAGTAGCAATTGAGCAGTGCTTTATGGTTTATCTCTGCACACAGAGCCTATGTCCCCATCAGTGACAGCAAGCCCTCTGTAATATAAAGGAGATGTGAACAAATCATGTCTTCCAGGAATAAATTCATGAGCCTCCCTTTTGAAATCATGACTCACCAATATTTAGAACAGAATGCTTCACTTCTTTGGGAAAAAAGTAAAGATAGAAAAAACATTTTAGGAATAGCATTCTGCCTTGATTTTAGCTTCTCCTTAGAAGAGCTCTCCCATGGCAGTATTCAGTTTTTTCCCCTAAACAATAAGCACTGATAATCTTATTATTAGTTCTGAGATATTACAATGATCAGGTTATGATTTTATCTAAAACCCTGAAATCTTGACCTGAGGACTTGACGGGGGCCCTTGGCCTCTTCACCCTTCTCCTGAATCCCTTCATGTGTTCTTTATCTTCAAAAGAATTCCAACAAGCTACCAGGGCGTTTTAGCCCAGACATGAAGGCAAGCTGAAGTCTTTCCCCTCTGAACCTTCTAAATAAGTGATAAGAACTGACTCTTCAAGCCAGTAAACTCTGGTGTGAGGAAGCAGAACTATTTCTTGAACTATCACAGTAGATGGGATCTGCAGTCTTTTCTCTGAAAGTTATCTGTAACAGCTGTTCTAAATTCAGGCTTGACTTTTTTCAGAGCATGAAAGCAGTTTAGATAATCTCAGACTTTTAAGGTTCCAAGGGCTTTGTTGCTGTTGTTCTTTAGTAGAGTGAGACTCACAGCTTAAGAGCAAAATTCTTCTATTTCCATATACAAAGAAGAAACTTGACTGTTGTTAATACTAAAATTTGCAATTTGTTTTTTTCAATGTTTAAAGGTACGTACTTGTTGAAAGTTTAAAAAATAGATTATTCCATTTAATTAGGTTATGTTGTATATTATTTTTAAATTTAAGAGATTTTTTAACTGTCAGATATTAGGCCTTTGAAGTAAAAGATGACCTAAAATCCTTTCCTCTAATTCTATGGCTTTGTCTTTTTAAACTTTTCTTTCAGGTCTGCGCCATATAACTGTTCTGAAGCTTTTAGGCCTCGGAGATGAAGTTGGGGGAGTGTTAGAACTATTCCCTATTAATGGTAATGTACCATTATCTTAAAATGGTATAAACTAGTTATGTTTAGCTATATGCAAGCAATGGGGATAGCTTTAAGGTGAACACAGTTCAGTGAATCCTCTTTCCAACATGTGTGTGGGTGTGGTGTATGTATACATAAGAAGGACACTGGAGTGCAGTGACTAATATTGTTTTTAATATATAATCATTCAAAGAATAGTAAAAATATCCATTTTCTTAACTAAAATAAATTTTTGGTCTATATAGGGTGTTAATTTTCACAATAGTTTTATGAGGAAAAAAGGTCATATTTTATTGATAATGTTCAACAGATAAGGAAAAAGAGAATCAAAAAGAAAATGACTATGACTAAAGGTTTCAGAGAGCAAATCTCATCCTTCCTTCTAAGACAGTGTGTGCTTTGGCAGAGTGCTAGACAGAGCAGACCCCCCCCAGGAAGTATCAGCTCCTTTTTCCTTCCACTTTCTTCTTTTCACTAATTGCAATAGTTCAAATACATTTATCCAGATCTTAACATAATTGGTATTTTTCAGTTGTCTTTCAAGACAGAGTCTTGCTCTGTCATCTGGGCTAGAGTACTATGGCCTCAGCCTACATCAGCACAACCTCAAACTCCTGGGCTCAAGCAATCCTCCTGCCTTAGCCTCTCGAGTAGCTGGGGCTTCAGACACATGCCACCATATCTGGGTAACTTTTCTATTTTTAGCAGAGACAGAGTCTAGCTTTGCTCAGGTTGGTCTTGAAGTTCTTACCTCAAGTGATCCTCCTGCCTTAGTCTTCCAGGATGCTAAAATTACAGGCCTGAGCTACCACATCCAGCCAGTATTTTTCATTTTTCACATAAAACCTCTTGTTACAAAGAAAAATGTCAAAAAGAAAACTATAAAGATGTAACTAAGCTAATTGGAAATAAACTTTAAAATATAAATATTTGTTAGTGACAAATTTTAAAGAACTTGATCTTGCCGGTTTAAATTAAAGGACTGGTTTTATAACGCTGCTACAGAAGACACATCATGTGCCCCATAGGTTGATCCGAATAACGTTGTAGAACAGTGGGGACACATAGTTTCTAGTAAAAACAACCCCTGCAAACTTCTTTAATGGCATTTTGAGCTAAAGAAGCAGGATCATGGGTCCTCTCTGTTCTCAGTGATTTCCTCTGACTTTGACCAGTTTTCTTGAACACTGACACTTTCTTTAATCCACTAACAAGTACTCTAATGTCATCCTAGGGAGCTCTGTTGTTGAGCGAGAAGACGTACCAGCCCATTTGGTGAAAGATATACGTAACTATTTTCAAGTAAGCCCAGAGTACTTCTCCATGCTTCTTGTTGGAAAAGATGGAAATGTCAAATCCTGGTATCCTTCTCCCATGTGGTCCATGGTGATTGTGTATGATTTAATTGATTCAATGCAACTTCGGAGACAGGAAATGGCCATTCAGCAGTCACTGGGGATGCGCTGCCCAGAAGATGAGTATGCAGGCTATGGTTACCATAGTTACCACCAAGGATACCAGGATGGTTACCAGGATGATTATCGGCATCATGAGAGTTATCACCATGGATACCCTTACTGAACAGAAATATGTAACCTTAGCCTCAGCCAGTTTCTCCTGCAGCTGCTGGAGCCACATGTGGCCAGCTCTGTTCTTCTACACTGCCTACATTCCCTGCCTTTTCCTTTCAGTGTTCTTCAAAGATTAAATAAATAGCAAACTTTCACCTATTCATGAGTTGTTATTAAAGACTTAAGTTATAAAGAAGTTATAAGAGAACTGGAGGGGATCTAATGATGGTACTGAAAATTGGTATTGTTTTCCTTTTCCTATGTAAAGAACATTATTTGGTATATGAAATTCTGTAACATTTATATCTCTTTTCCTTATTTTTGTATTAATTGATAAGTGAAAACTCTGAAAATTAAAAATCACAGTGCAAATATTTTCTGGAAACATCTGAACAGATAGAACAAGGAACAGATAGCTTCTTAACTATTTTTGAAATGGTAGCAGCTCTTTGTATGAGTTTCTGTTATGAAGCTTGATACCACAGGCGTCCAGCAATCTTAGCAATAAAGGCCAGAGAAGGTACCAAACCCACTTTTGTTACTATAGCCCCTTCTGGCCCTGTTTCTGTTATCTTTAGCGTCTTTTCAGACATAGATCAGGGCGTCAGGAAATCCTTACCACAATCTAGCACTGCGAACAGTACTGATGCTTTCAGAATTTTAGCAGGTTGCCATGGAATTACTGACAAAATATCTTGACCCTTTGCACTTGAACGCCTGAATAGCACAGGCATATGTTGGAGATAGATATTCCAGGTTTGTTCTGGACCACTACAATAAAGTGATTATTGCAATAAGGTGAGTCACACATTTTTTTTTATTTCCCAGGGCAAAATAAAAGTTATGTCCACACTATATTGTAGTTTATTAAGTATACAATAGCATTATGTCTAAAAAATGCACAAACCTTAATTTAAAATTACTTCATTAGGCTAGGCATCGTGGCCCATGCCTGTAATCCCAACACTTTGGGAGGCAAGACAGGAGAATCATCTGAGTCCAGGAGCTCAAGACCAGTCTGGGGAATATAACCAGATCTTGCTTCTACAAACTCCATAAACTTTATTCTTGAAAGTATTGACATTCATTTAAGCCTGCATTTTCAGCAAGTTATAATTTTCTTGCTCAGAGTGGGGGTTGCCTTTACATTGATAACTAGTGACTGATCTGGGTGATGGTTGTGGGAGGGTGGGGTGGCTGGGGCAATTTCTTAAAATAACAATGAAGTTTGCTGCTTCAATTGACTCTTCCTTTCCTGAAGGAAGGAACATGCAATGCTGTTTCATAGCATTTTGCTCATAGTAGAACTTCTTTCAAAATTGGAGCCAGTCTTCTCTCTTTTGCTACTCTCTCAACTAAGTTTATATATAATAACATTCTAAATCCTCTCTTGTCATTTCAACAATGTTCCCAGCTTCTTCACCAGGAATGGGTTCCATCTCAAGAAGTCACTTTCTTTGCTCTTCAGGAAGAAGCAAGTCTTCATCTGTTAAAGTTTTATCATGAAACTGCAATTCAGTCAAATCTTCGGGCTCCATTTTTAATTCTGGTTCTCTTGCTATTCCCACCACATCTACAGTTTCTTCTTCCACTGAAGTCTTGAACGACTTAAAGTCATCCATGAGGGCTGGAGTCATCTTCTTCCAAACTCCCATTAATGTAGCTATTTTAATCTCTTCCCATGAATCACAAATATTCTTAATGTATCTAGAATGGAGAATCCTTTCCAGAAGATTTTTAATTTACTTTGCCCAGATCTATCAGAGGAATCACTATCTATGGCAGCTACAGGATTATGAAGTATATTTCTTAAACAGTAGGATTCGAAAGTCAAAATTACTCATCAACTCACAGGCTGCAGAATGGACATATTAGCAGGTATGAAAACATTAATCTCCGTATGCATCTGTATCAGAGCTCTTGGGTGACTAGGTGCACTGTCAATGAACAGCAGTATTTTCATAGGAATATTTTCTTCTGAGCAGCAAGTCTCAATTGTAATGAGAATTAAAATGTTCAATAAATGATGCTGTAAACATATGTGCTGACACATAGGGTTTGTTGTTTGATTTATAGAGAGCAAGTACAGTAGACTTAGCATAATTCATAAGGACCCTAGGATATTTAGAATGGTAAATGAGGAATTGACTTCAACTTAAAGTCAGTAACTGTATAAACCCCTAACAGGAGAGTTAGACTATCATTTGAAACTTTGCAACCAAATGGTATCTTCTTCCAACAGGCAGCTGTTTCTTCTACATTAAAAATCTGTTGTTCAGTGTTGCTACCTTCGTTGATTATCTTAGCTCAATTTTGTTAGGAACTTGTTGCAGCTTCTGCATCAACATTTGATGCTTCATTTTGTATTTTCATAGTATAGAGATGGCTTCTTTCTTTAAACTTCATTAAAGCAGTCTCTCCTAGCTTAAACCCTATTTCAGGATGTTTGGTTTTGATTCCTGGCCAAGATAAGGGCAAAGGGATTCATGATGTGTTGAAAATCTGCAACTACTCTGGTGATCACCAGGGTCACTTTCTTTAATGATGGTTTCCAACTGGCCTAATAGATTAAATAAGCTTGGCTAATTACATGGCCAGAGAGACACAAAAACCCTGCTGGAAATTTTTACTTTGAGCTCTTCCAAAGTCAAGATTTCTTACAAGATCTTGGTGCAAACTGTAGATAATGAAGACAGTGTGGTCTGTGTGTGCAAATAAGGACCTGGGAGCTTATGTATGAAATGTCTCTTGAATCCTCAACATCTGTGCTCTCTTTTTCTTGCTGGACTATATACTTTGCTTTTAAACAAGCCTTATGTGAGCATGCTCTACTGAGTCTGGTGAGTCCTTTCCATATACAAACTTAGGAGATCTTTACAGGGTGGAATATGTTCACACATACACATACACACACACACAACACACACATACAAAGAGTGGCCATAAAGTTTGTGTGCAAATTAAAACTACATACTAATTTAAATTGCACATGAATTTTATAGCCACTTTGTGTAATTTTAGTATAGTTTATAAAACATTAAATCTAAAGTATTAAATATTTTATATATTATATAACAATAAATATAAAAACATAAAAACAATTATACTGTATTTATAAGTATACAATGTAAAAAAATTCTAATAGCCATAGAAAAAACTTGTGCTGTTTCAAGGCACTTTACTTAACCTGACTTCTCACCAAAGCAGGGAGCTTAATCTAAAACAAGGTAATAAACTAAAATTCAAGTGGTAACTCCCTCCTTATAAGCAGGAAATAATATTACCCATATCTATGTAGGATTGGCCCTGAAAGCAATAGTTTCAAGCAACATAGAGGAAAAGCACATTCCCTCATTGCAATTTTCTATGGTTCCTGATTCTCTGACACCTCCTTGAAGCAGCTTTCTTTAGCATAGTAATTTCAAAGATAGCATTCAAACTGTGTCTAGGTTAGAGGTATAGGGTAAGGGGGATTCTACCTGCACCAGTTTGTGGCAAATATTAAGCCCAACTGGAAAGTTGGGGGGGGGGGTCTGTTTGTTTTGAGACAGAGTCTCACTCAGTTGCCCTGGGGTTGAGTGCTATAGCATCACGGCTCATAGCAACCTCAAACTCTCGGGCTTAAGCAATTCTCTTGCCTCAGCCTCCCGAGTAGGTGGGACAACAGCTGCTCACCAAAACCCAGCTATTATTTTTAGAGACAGGGTATCACTTCAGGCTGGTCTTGAACTCCTGAGTTCTGACAACCCACCCACCCGGCCTCCCAGAGTGCTAGGATTACAGGTGTAAGCCACTGTACCTGATGGGACAGTTAAACTCTGTTTAAAGATAAATCTCCAGAAACTTTAAAGATACACATACATATATACATACATACACATACACACCCATAAGGCATTTAAGCTTAAAAAACAGCTTACCAACAAAGAAAAAAAATAGATAAATATTATGTATACATATATACACACATATACATTTCTAATAGAGAAGGGAAACATTTAACATCTTGGTAACACTAGATGATACACAAAAAAGATTTCTGAAGGGGCTCGGTGCCTGTGGCTCAAGCAGCTAAGGCGCCAGCCACATACACCTAAGTTGGCGGGTTCGAATCCCCAGCCCAGGCCCGCCAAACAACAATGATGGCTGCAAGCAAAAAATGGCCGGGCGCTGTGGCGGGCGCCTGT